TTATATAATTAAAGTTGCTTAAACAATTAGAAACAAAACAGAATCATGCATGTATGTATAGTTTAATACAAAGGACCCGAAAACCAATCACAAAGAGTACTTTCTTCATTTAAAAAGATGAGATACAGTGGGATGGGGAAAAACCGCCATAATTTCTTTAGACATGTTTTTTAAAAGTTGAACTTGCATTAATTGTACATGGCTTTCTAAACATGCGTCTCTCTTGTGCGAGACGCGAGTGCAACGCTGATAGATGTCCCTCTAGAAAATGTGATAAATATGCGTTCTGTGTGAACGGCTTGGTTTCGGTTTTGACGTAAACAACATCTTCTCCGCATTGATTGTTCTCGTTTTCCGCTATATATTGAATGAACAACGCAGCAGCGCCACATCTAGTGGCTTCAACTGGATAGGCTAACAAAAGCATTATAATGCAACGACACTTACATCGTTATCGCATCTCGTGCACCACTGATAAGCTGGCTGACGCACACCTAAAATTCGAATGCAACGTTTTTGCATTCGAATGTGGATTTTTTTTTTTTAATTTGACGAATATTTGAAATGCAAAATTTTTTTTTGACAGCCCTAGTGGACATGGCCTTACTCTACAAACATACACCTTTGTTTACGTTTGTCTGTTGCTCGGCAACCACTTTGTTGCAACCACAACTGTTTCTGAGGAGCTACATTGTTTGGTGGAAGAATACTGTTTTTATTAATATCATTACACTTTATTATTTGCTTTGTTTTATTTTGTAAAAACCTTGATACATATATGGAATAACCGTTTTATCCACCTTTTTCTTCAACGCGGAAGTAAGCCTATGGGCAAGACTTCTGTTTCATTAGCCGCTATAGAGAAATAACGAGAAGAATAACAACGTGCAGTAAACGGTAAAACTGTTTGCATTATAAACCAGTGTGTTCATAAATAAGACAACACACCAATTTTCAATGTCAAGCAGCAAAACGAGCGGTTCTGTACAGCTAAAAATAGCTGGACGTGGATGAGACCGGAAGCCAGACCCATAGAATTTACAAATTACCCATTTTTGTGGGAAGAAGAAGGTGGATAAGTTATATAAAGCAGTTAAAGCAATTAGCCCCGTGGAGCCGTGGTTTACAGTGAATTTATAACAGCTAAGGGGGTTTTAGACTCCGCTTCACATTGTGCCTAACAACGCCCCTTAGCTGTTACAACTTCACTGTAAACCACAGCTTCACGGGGCTTTCCAGCGGTGCTCTTTCGCTCCTCCATAAAAGCCCAGTTTCACGTGCAAATCAGTAAATCATGTAACGTGACTTTTGCAAAATGGGATGTGCTTGATGTATTGAAGTGTATTAGATTTATTCATGTTTTTAAAAGTGCTAAAGAGAACTTGTGCTGTTATTCGCGTAAACCCTCGTCGGTCATGTAATAAATGAACATAAAGAGTTGAGAATGAAAATACGTGTGTAACAGTAAATTGGATCCGTGCAGCTCTTAAAGTGACAGCAGCCTAATGAAACAACAAAAGACAAATTCAAAATCACACACTGCTCTGGAGTGAAGGACCTTTGTAGCTTTAATAAGAAACAAGGAAAGTTTCATTCTTACTCAGACTATGCTGTTTTATTTTACATTTCTGTTAACTTGAGTATTTGAGACTTGCATTAAAAAAACCTTCAAGCACAGTTTGTTTAATTTGTATCTTTTTATTCTACGTCATTTGTCCTTTGCTTTTTTGTTACTGACGGTTTAATTATTTTCAGTCATTTTGAGGACTGTTTGTTTGTTACTAATATCAGTTACCCTAATACTCTGCTGTGGTGTTGAGAATTGGGACAGTTCGAAAATGTCTCTAAATTGTAGATGTCATAGCAACCTTATTTACAGAAAATATATATTTAATATGCATCACTATCTTTAAATAAATCACTCATATAAAGTTTTGGTCATATGGCCCACTCATAATCATGTTAAATAATCGTGATTACAATATTGACCAAAATAACCGTGATTATGATTTTTGCCATAATCGAGCAGCCCTAATAAAGATGCTTGCTGTTAGATTTGTGTGTGTTACACAGAGAATTGTGTTTTGTGTTTTCTGAAATTGAAAGTCGAGTCAGTGGCTGAGAATCAGTGTAAGGTTCTGCAGATCTGGTGTGTGCTTCTGCTGTTTGAGTGTCAGCTCTCAGAAACTGTGGGACTAGTAAAGATTGTGTGTGTGTAAGCAGATGAAAGTAGCTGTAAGCATCAGTGCAGCCCTGATTAAAGCAGCGGTTCTCTGTGTTTCAGGTGCAGAAGCTGCAGCGCGCGGCTCTACAGGATCCTGTTAAATGCACCGTTTCCTCCAAATACGCCACCGTCGACAAGCTGCAGCAGTATTACATCTTCATCCCGTCCAAGTACAAGGTTCTGTCTTTATTAAACGCTGACTCTGACCCTGAGGAGAGTGCTGTCAGTGGATGTGTGTGATGTGAGCTTGTGTTTGTTCACAGGACTGTTATCTGGTCTCTATCCTGAATGAACTGGCTGGGAACTCTTTCATGGTTTTCTGCGGCACGTGTAATAATGCCCAGCGGGTGGCGCTCTTGCTCAGAAACCTGGGCATCACGGCCATCCCTCTCCACGGACAGATGAGTCAGGTACACACTCAGACCATCTGAATATTACTGGTTTAGACTGCACTGATTCAAATCTAGGGATGCTCCGAATGTTCCGCAACCGAAACTATTCGGCCGAAAATAGCAAAGAAAGCTATATAAGCGAAAAGACTGAATAAATTGTACCGAACAATGACATTTTTGGTGACGCATTCAAATAGCAAGCAGCGTAGAGTGAGAGGCACACACTCTTTATAACACAGCAAACATATTGTATTTAAAACTGTCAGAGAAAGACACACAAATCATCACAAGCACCGACAGCGAGAGACTGTTTAGCACTGCAGCGCATGTCTTCCATGAGAAGAGGAAGGGTTACTGTATGAGGATTGAAATCACCAAATGGCCTTAAACAACTAGTAAATAATCTGCAGAACGTTATGTTTTCTAATACACGCATGAATTGCTTGTATTCTGACAGCACAAGCTCGTTAACCAGGGTTTAAATTCTGCGCTGAAACAGTGTTAATCGTCAGTTGCTTCAGTAACATTTTAATGAATTTTTACAAGGCTAGGGCTGTCACTAATGACTATTTTTATTTCGATTAATCTATCGACTAATTTATCAATTGATCGATTAATCTAACATATTTTTTTTAAAAATCAACAATTTTACTTAAGAATATTTTATTAAACTATATTGATTAAACCAAATGAAATCCAAAAGTAAAAAAGTAAAGTGCAGCATAGAGTGCAAGAAGCAAGTGTCCGTCTCATAGTCCAACTCACTGAAATCAGAGTTCAGTATTATAGTGTATTAGATTAATCTATCAACTAATTTATCGATTAATCGATTAATCTGAACGATTAATTCCCCACAAAAAATCAACAATTTTACTTAAGAATATTTTATTAAACTATATTGATTAAACCAAATGAAATCCAAAAGTAAAAAAGTAAAGTGCAGCATAGAGTGCAAGAAGCAAGTGTCCGTCTCATAGTCCAACTCACTGAAATCAGAGTTCAGTATTATAATGTAAGAATGACTACATATCCACGTGCTATAGTCTACTAATAATAACATTATAATCAAAAAACACTTTTTAAAGGAGTATTTACCAGAAATGTTATTTACCAGAATTTATTTAGGAGAAAAATGTAAATGTGCAGTATTTCTGAAAAAGAAGAAGAAAAAAATATATATATTTTTTAAAAATAAAATCAATTAATTGGAGATGCTTTTGATTATTAAAATTTAATGGAACCATTGAAATGGAATCCAGAAAATAATGGAAAACAGAATTTGGTAAAGATAAAACTGTAAAACTCAATTAATTAGACGGGCTTTTTTATTAATAAAATTTTAATTTACCATTAAAACGGAGTATAGAAAAATGAAAATGAAAAAAAAACTGGGAATAAAACGGATTTCATAGGGCCCTATAATTATAATTTGTTTTTTTTTGTGGTAATAAAAATAGATGTAAGTGAACAATAGCCTTTAAAAATACTTAAAATACATATAGCAATGAAGCAATAATAATTAGTTCAAATAAAGTATCAAAAGCAAGAAATCATATGGTTTTATTGAACAAAACTGTTAAAATACATAATGTATTATAAACAATAGAGCTAATGTACATTACGCATTACAACAAAGGCCTGCAGGGGGCTGATGATGATTTTTACACATTACTGTGCGATCTAATACTTGTTTAATATATAATTATTTAATTAAATCGTAGCGTTTGTGAATTCACAATTATGCTTAATTATGATTTTTAAATGGGTTTAATATATCATGCAGCCTTGGGAAACAGTCTAATAATGTGTTTTATGGATTCTCGTCCGTGAAATGTGCCACTTCCGGTATTCTGCTGGTTAGTCGACGCAAGCAAAATGAAGTCGAGGATTTAAAAAAAATCGAATAGTCTAATAAAATCAACGAATCGTGACAGCCCTACATGTGACGATGTGATACGTGTGACAAACATCTTCCCAAATTCATAATGAGAATGTCGACTAGAATGTTAAAAAATGTTCAGTGTTAAATATTTTTAAATTGTTGTTTTGTAATTTATTTTTTCTTTGAAAAGCAACACAAAACAGTAAAAAGCACATTTTGGCTATTTAATTCATGCAATGCTGAAAACATTTGCAAAATATATGGGGGAAAATGCAAAAACTGTTTTCGGCCTTTGGCCCAGTGTTTCATTTTGTTCGGTTCTGGCTTCAGCCAAGAATTTTTGTTTCGGTGCATCCCTATTGAGAACATGGTGTGAATAAGGATTGTCTTCAGTAGAGCAGCTTCACTCCTGAATGCGAGCTCTGTCCCTCAGTGATTCTGCTGTTTTGCTCTTGATCTGTGAAGCTGCTTTGACTCAGACTGATCTGATGTGGCTCTCTGTGTTCAGAACAAGCGTCTCGGGGCTCTTAACAAGTTCAAGTCCAAGTCTCGCTCGGTCCTGCTGGCCACAGACGTGGCGTCTCGAGGCCTGGACATCCCACATGTGGACTGCGTCATCAACTTCGACATCCCCACACACTCCAAGGTGAACACACACACACAGACACTCTTCAGCAGTTAAACTCTGTCTCCTCTTGATTGTGTTTATTACTGGCTGTTTGTTTTCTGTTTAGCTCAGTGAAAATGCTGGCGTTAGACGTGATTGTTGATGTGAATTCATCTTTATCTGCACAGCAGATGATGTTGTGTTGTGCTGACATGAATCTGTTTTCTCTCAGGACTACATCCATCGTGTGGGCCGCACCGCCAGAGCAGGGAGATCTGGGAAATCCATCACCTTCGTCACGCAGTCAGTCTCAGTCTTTCTGTCTCGTTTATTAACTCTTCAGTGTCTTCAGGTGTGTTAGTCACACAGGCTCTCATTGTGTTTGTGCAGGTATGACGTGGAGCTGTTCCAGCGAATCGAAGCGCTGATCGGGAAGAAACTGCCCGCCTTCCCCACACAGGAAGAGGAAGTGATGATGCTGCTGGAGCGAGTGAGCGAAGCGCAGAGATTCGCTCGGATCGTGAGTGCTCCTTCTGTGTTTGTGTGAGATCTCTGATGAACGTGAGGCTGATGAACGCATGCATGTCTGTTTCTGTCAGGAGATGAAGGAAAGCTCAGAGAAGAGGAAGCGGCCCAAAGCAGACGAGGAAGAGGCTGACGACGGAGAACAGTCGAGCGGCGTGAGGAAGAAGATCAAGGGCGGCTCGTTCAGAGGAAGAGCGAAGCGAGGACGCTGAGACTCTGCTGGAGTTTGCTTTAATACATCTAATAAATCATGCATTTTCCACATTACAGCTTCTTGCTTTTTATTTAGGCTTTCTGACCACAAATAGTGTGTCTGATAGAAGTGAAAGCGGCTCATAATTCATAAAGCACAATAATCATCTGTCCTGAGCTCATCCAGGGAAGAGAGAAATCACTAGAGCTGAGGAGAAAATATTGATTTCTCGACTTTAATCAATTCTCATTTTGACAAACTGACATCAACTCTTAAATCCCAAGAATCAGTCTCTCCTGTTTTCAGTTGATTTGTGAACAAAACATAGAGAAACTTTATTTGTAGCACCTCCCATACAATATTCGTAATAATCTGAGTTTAAGTGAGCGAAGCGCAGAGATTCGCTCGGATCGTGAGTGCTCCTTCTGTGTTTGTGTGAGATCTCTGATGAACGTGAGGCTGATGAACGCATGCATGTCTGTTTCTGTCAGGAGATGAAGGAAAGCTCAGAGAAGAGGAAGCGGCCCAAAGCAGACGAGGAAGAGGCTGACGACGGAGAACAGTCGAGCGGCGTGAGGAAGAAGATCAAGGGCGGCTCGTTCAGAGGAAGAGCGAAGCGAGGACGCTGAGACTCTGCTGGAGTTTGCTTTAATACATCTAATAAATCATGCATTTTCCACATTACAGCTTCTTGCTTTTTATTTAGGCTTTCTGACCACAAATAGTGTGTCTGATAGAAGTGAAAGCGGCTCATAATTCATAAAGCACAATAATCATCTGTCCTGAGCTCATCCAGGGAAGAGAGAAATCACTAGAGCTGAGGAGAAAATATTGATTTCTCGACTTTAATCAATTCTCATTTTGACAAACTGACATCAACTCTTAAATCCCAAGAATCAGTCTCTCCTGTTTTCAGTTGATTTGTGAACATTCATATTTGTAGCACCTCCCATACAATATTCGTAATAATCTGAGTTTACATTTGATATGAAACCAAGTCTCCGCTTTAAATTCTGTCAGTTTTATGAAATGTTTCATGAAATTTTATGTAATCAGTAAATGTGTTTCTCTTTAATGTGTGGTGACAGATGCTGTAGTGAAGTGATCATCGCTTCCTCTTTACTACTAGTTACAGCAGCAAATAAACATGAACATCAGAACCGCTCACTGAAATCACTCATGAATCTATCAATCAGTGATTCAACTGCAGAAAGACTTCAATAAAACAGCAGCTCGAGATCAATAACCTCACATTTACCTCAGGAAAGACATTCAATGACCATAAACTCAAGAGTCAGCTAGAAAAACAACTCTAGAGTATAAAGATTAATAATATCATATTCATGATATTTTAACAACCTGTTCTTCAATATTTCCTATTTGACTAAATCCAGCATTCTCATTTTGACAAACTGACATCAACTCTTAAATCCCAAGAATCAGTCTCTCCTGTTTTCAGTTGATTTGTGAACAAAACATAGAGAAACTTTATTTGTAGCACCTCCCATACAATATTCGTAATAATCTGAGTTTACATTTGATATGAAACCAAGTCTCCGCTTTAAATTCTGTCAGTTTTATGAAATGTTTCATGAAATTTTATGTAATCAGTAAATGTGTTTCTCTTTAATGTGTGGTGACAGATGCTGTAGTGAAGTGATCATCGCTTCCTCTTTACTACTAGTTACAGCAGCAAATAAACATGAACATCAGAACCGCTCACTGAAATCACTCATGAATCTATCAATCAGTGATTCAACTGCAGAAAGACTTCAATAAAACAGCAGCTCGAGATCAATAACCTCACATTTACCTCAGGAAAGACATTCAATGACCATAAACTCAAGAGTCAGCTAGAAAAACAACTCTAGAGTATAAAGATTAATAATATATTCATGATATTTTAACTGAACCTGTTCTTCAATATTTCCTATTTGACTAAATCCAGCATGAAATACAAACATTTGAAGAGTTGGAGTAGAAACATTATTAAAAAGTTATAATTTTTTTTTATATTATAAAAACTTTAAATTATAAAAGCCATATGTGCACTAATGTTAATAATGTAGCATCTGACAGGGTTTATTGTATAGTTTACAGCATTAGTTGAGATAGAGGTTTATAAGATGAGTTTATAAGATGTTCTTCATTTTAAATACAGCGGTAATTAAACTCCGACAGGAAAGAGTAAATTACATTAAACATTAAAATAGTTCAATCAATAACATCACACGCACACACACACATTACTAAGCTCAAAAGAATGAATTACTGTTAATAAACTAACCTGATAACAAATTCAGGTCACAGCTTTTCCTGTGTTCTCTGAGATCAACTGTGAATCCAGCTGTTGTAGATATGTGTCTGTCAATGTAACAAATTCAGGAACTAGTGAACTGTTACAGCTATTTATTAATAACCATTTGTTTCAAGATAATATTTATTAGATATTTATAAACTTAAAATATATTTAAGCCTCACAGCACACGAGAGACTGCCCACTCAAATCAGTTTCTGCACAGCTTTCTTTAGATTCTGATATTGTAATGAAAACTGGTTATTGACGTCCTGAAAAACTATTTCTGAGTCATTTGCCCTCGGCTAATTCACTCTTTTTTAATTTACTACTTTCTTTTTCTTGTTTTACTCCCATCACAGAAAGATAAAAAGTAGACAATGTTTGTCCTGTTTTCTGAAATAGAAGATCTTGTGTTTAAAGGGCACTTATTATGCCTCTTGTTACAGTATGTAATATAAGTCTCAGGTGTCTCCAGGCTGAGGAAAACCGTAGGTAAGGTTAGTTACCTAACCTAACCCTAACCTACCTAAGGTTACTGATGCTATGCACCTGTCGCTCTTACCTGTTTTCTTTTTTTATTGCACAACTTATAATTGCATACAAGATCAGGGAAAGATGGTTGTATCTTTAACAATGAACAATCATAACGACAAAAAATATCATAGTATGAGATTATATACACAGAAAAAAAGCGCAATGACAAGGGAAATATCTTTGAATAATCATAATATTCATATAATCATAATGCATCACAAATAGATTTTGTTGTTGTTGTTTTTGTTACTTGTAAGCCTGAGGGATGAAACAAGAGTTAATTCAACAAGAAAAAGAGGAAAACAAAGGAGATTTAATAAAGCCTTGCATTTGGATCCTCTCTGTTGTTATAATCGCTCATATGGTTTTATGTTTCATGCATTTATTTAAGAAAGAATCTCTCTTCATCTGACAATATACTGGATATCTGTACATTAACAACAGACACACACATAACTAACTTAATATAAAATAGAGTAACAGTGAGTATAAAATGAGAGAGCGATCATGTAAATGTTTTAAGTGACATGGATATTTCACATTGTAGATTTGCTTTACATCTTTTGATACGTTTAAGTGCTGCACTTGACAATCACATTTATAATTAGAAACACATGAATCATTATGGATGAGTTTAATACAAATATTATGTTTGTAGATCTTAAACTGAAGAGCCAGACAGACTCATCTGAGCTTCTTCCTCCTGTTTCACCTTTAAATAAAACAACATGATCATTTGAACACTAAAGCAACACGAATCATTCAGTATGACATGTTTTCATTGTAAAGTCTGAGTCTCTTCCAGCTGTATGTAGTTCTGCTCACAGACACAGTAGTGAAGCTCTCAGCTGATGTTCACTGCTCCTCTCATCATCATCTCAAACTATGATATACAGCATCCATTATCCTTTGACGACTGAACTCTATCAGGGACTCTTGACGATGGATCTCTATCTACACTGTAAGGTAGAATATCTCTACCTACTCTGTAAGGTGGAACAGAAGGGAAAACAATCAGTGTTCAGTGGAACAAATTAATTACTATTTCAATTACAGTTTTTTGAGTAAAAATAAGTTACATTTACGTGATCTTGCATATATATTTCTAAAACAATATATGTGTTTTAAACACATTTAGAACATGTATTTTTATATATAATATATGTGTTAGTCTGTTTGTGTGGCTCCTATTGAGTCACTATAAAGAGAAACATGCTAATGATTGTACATCATATATAATAAACGACAAGGAACAAACACAAATGTGATTTTGCCTAAGATCAAAACCTTTAGTTAAATGTTCCAGTAGTTAAAGCTGTTTGTCCTCTAGTTTAAACATGTTTGTATTGGTCTTAGTAAAGAACTGAAAGTAAAGTAAGTGTAAAGTAATGAGACGTGTTGCTGGTGAAAATAAAAACACAGAAGAGCCGGAGACATTGATCATGTGATGCTGGAATCTGCACTGATTTTACCAGCGTTTTCCTACAGTCTGACCAAACCTGTTTTCACACTGACATGATTCACTAATAAAGCAGGTATTGCTGTATAAAGCTGTGACAGTGTGCTTCTGTTCTCTTTCCTCCTTTGTGTTCAACATTTACTCAACTTTACATTTCATTCTGACACAATGAACCCTCAGGTGCAGTAAAGCTGGATGATAATCTGATGATCTCCTTCACTAATATTTGACAGTATGTATTTATCAGCAGTAACTGAAGATCTCTTTAATATCACAGTGATGTTTGCTCACCTCAGTTCACAGTTTGAGTCTCGTAGCACATCAATGAGCTCCTGCTTCAAGTCTCTAATCATATTACCACTCAGATCAAGCTCTTTTAGAAACCGCAGCGCTTTTGTGTTTCTCAAAGACTGAGTTAAAGAAGAAACATCTGTAATGCCACAGTATCTTAGACTGGAAAGAGAGAAACAGAGGAAGAGAGATCATCTCACAAACAATCATTGTCACAACACTACAGCAAAACAGAGTCTCCTAGTTTATTCCCGCTCAGGTTCAGTTCTCTCAGGTGTGATGGGTTTGAGTTCAGAGCTGAAGTCAGGACGAGACTTTCTGTTTCTCTGTAATACTGCATTAACACAGACTGAAGACAGAGAGAGAAAACACAATCAATCAGATCTAAGTTCATATCTGAGTTAAACACATCATGAGTAAATGAATCAGACTGTAGCTGCTGTAGAGTATAATGATACTAACTCTAGTTTATCCAGCTTGCATTGTGTGTTCATCAGTAGATCACTGAGGCTCTTCACTCCAGTCTCCTAGTAGTTTATTCCCTCTCAGATCCAGTTCTCTCAGGTGTGATGGGTTTGAGTTCAGAGCTGAAGTCAGGACGAGACTTTCTGTTTCTCTGTAATACTGCATTAACACAGACTGAAGACAGAGAGAGAAAACACAATCAATCAGATCTAAGTTCATATCTGAGTTAAACACATCATGAGTAAATGCCACACAGTCACTGATACACAAGCAAAATAATGTAAACAGATAATATATGAACAAATAAACCAAGAGAGGAGCATTTGAGGGCACTAGTTACAATTCCACGTCTGGATCCGTCCTCATTTAACAAATAAATTAATTAACCAATGTAAATTAATATAGAGGATTAATGCAGACACAATAGAAAAATAACAGAATTGCAACTTTAATTGTACTCTAGTTTCTCCAGCTTGCATTGTGTGTTCATCAGTAGATCACTGAGGTTCTTCACTCCAGAGTCTCCTAGTTTATTCCTGCTCAGATCCAGTTCTCTCAGGTGTGATGGGTTTGAGTTCAGAGCTGAAGTCACAGCAGAACAATCTTCTTCTGTCATATCACAACATCCTAACC